GTTTACGATTTAGTGCCTGAAACAGGTTACTACAACGAATTACAGTACCTTCATTCTGTTTGAATGAGTCATTGGTTTGCCGTCGTGGAACCATTCGATCTTCAACGTTGGATCCAAAACTGGAGTGACTTGCGCCTCGAGATGAGCCATTTGACCTTCGAGAAGTTCAGGTGGAGACTGAATAAGGGACCATGAGGCGGGCAAATGACTGGAAAAATTTATTGTAGCTTACATGGGCGAGCGGTGTGGTGAATTTAGGTGGTCCGTAGTCGACATCAGGTCTCTCTTCAGGAGCTGGCCGTGGTGCCTCGATCTCACCAATTCTTGCTTGAGCTCCTTCTGCCATTTTGCCTGGCAGTTGTGATTCGCGTATAATTCTTTCTATGGGATTGCACGTGAGTCGAGTGCTGGTCACAGCTTCGCCCACCTAAAGGGCTCACATTTCGTTGGGAAAGCATCGCAGGAAAAGATCAGGCTCTATTCTTCCAAGCTTACCAGGTTCATGGCGCGGCATGAATATTCGCCACTGTCTTCTGGATAGACGGGGCTGATCTCGAGGACCACAAAGCCGAAATCGTTGATGGTCTTCACTCGAGAGCCAGTCTTCAGTGGACGACCGTCATGGAACCATTGTACCTGGAAAGGAATCATACCGGGTGAGTTCTTCCGTACTTAAAGCTTCCCACGAGCTCTACCCGTTTGAACTTTCCTTCAGTACCTGTAGTTTATTGTCATTGAGCGGCTCGTATCTCGCCGTGAAGTGAGCTCGATCACCTTCATCGCACTCAACTGGAGCTGAGAGCGGTTCGATGAATACCGGCATTGCTTCCTAAATCACAGAATCACAAGTTCTCTAGGGTAAGAGAAGAAAAGCCAGATATTAACCTTGACTTCCACAACAGCTTCTTCTGGTTTACGGTGCAGGACTTCTTCAAGGTCTGAGACGGCCTTTGCCTTCTGTTCGTTCTGAAATTTGAAACATTTGGAGTTACAGACAGAATCCCGTGGGGATAAAGACCGCTCCAGTTTTGAGATGCATTGCGGATGGGCGAACCGTTAGGGTCAAGGGTTGCCGGGGAGGGTGACACGAGACGGCGAACTATGTCACATCATATCTGCACTTCTTCGCTCTCTCACTAAGACAGTGCTCGGCGGTCGATTCGGCTCTAGAATGGCGTGTTGGCCAATTTCTCATTCGATGTCCCGCTCGGAACATGGGGAACTACTTCATACACTGTTTCGGTGAGAGGGCGCAGACAAGCATACCTCATGAAAAACGGTCAAACCAACGCGTGTCCTCCCCATCTATCTTTGTCCCTCAGATTCGTGATCACTGTGCCCTTTCTATGGCCGCTCCTCCCTCTAATGCCGTGAAGGAGGGCACGCCAAAGGGGAAATTACTAGTTTATGGCTTTACCGCTTTATCCACTCTCTCGTCTACCCGATCATCGTGGAATGTCTCCTTAAAGTGCTTCAAACTTATAAGAAGGAAAATGAGCGGTCAACATCCTGCCCATATCCATTTCCCATTTAACCCTTCGAGGCCTCTTCACTTTCAACAAATCGCTCTACCTTACCTGAGGATGAAGGATGAGACCGCTGCTTGGCGCGACCTTGATCGGTGCAGATGTGGTGTCTTCACCGGCTTCATTTACAATTCTGAAAGCAATGAATAACTAATGACCGCTTCGCATGTAGGCGTGGCCTCTTATTGTGGGCGTGCTTCCCACTAATGGGCTAGTGAGCCCTCGTAGGGTACTGAAACTGAAAATTTACCTGCAAGTGTACTCTCCAGTATCGTGAGCGAGAAGTGTGAATAATGTCCAAAACGGCAAAACCGAAATCGTGCACCATACGGTAGCGGTTGGAGTGGAAGATGGGATGGTCCGTCGCGAAGCCATTCGACCTGATTGAGATAGAACGATATTGCTGAGGTAACTCGCCTATTTTTTTCTCATCATCAGGGTTAAATTCGGCGGCGTTCGGGTTCGGGGGATGCAGGAGATGGTACTCAGCGAAACCTGCACAGGCCGTCTTGTGAAGAGCCTGTGAACTCTTTCAACAACCATGGGTCACTTACACCAACCTCACAAAGTAGTGAACAAGCTCCACAAAGTCAGACCCATTACTCTACATAAAAACTAGCTGAAAGTGCAAAATGCCCCTCCCAAGGCAAAACAGTTTTTAGCTCTCCTCTCTCCGGAACCCAAAGGGATCACTGCCTGTCACTGATGAAGTTATTCTGATATACGTTACTAGCCCCGAAAGGTGATAGGTATAGATAGTCAGTGGTGATAAGAGCTGATAACTGATGATAACGAGAGATACCTTTCAAGTTCGGGTCGTCGATTGGTGTGAATTGAGCCTGAAGATGAGCACTGCCAGCCTCTTCGAGCGCTCCCTGTACTGTAAGAGGAGCAGTGAATTTCGGTGCTGGGTAGACTGGAGCAGGTGCTTCGGGTGCAGCTGGTTTGTCGGCTTCGATCTCGCGGATACGGTCAAGTGATTGCGGATTCAACGAGTCGAGAACTATAACAGTACATAATAAAAGGGTGTAAACAGTTACTAAGGGGTACTGTGGGAAATTACGCCTACCGATATTTTCCCTGCTGGTGACATTGAGCGGAGCACTGCATCGAGCTTCTCCGGCAGGATTCGACGCCACACATGTCCATTCGCCAGTGTCTCGTGGTTCCACTTGGTTGATATCCATTATTACCCAACCGAAATCGTTGATCGTCTTCACTCGGGACGAGTTCGGCATCTAAAAATCGATTCAGATCAATTAATCGATTTCTAATTGATCCATGGCATGAACTGCAAATTGAACGCAATAAACTTACAGGTACTCCGTTCAATAGCCAAGTAATCTGCATATTTGCATCGTCCACAGGTTCCACGGTGGCTTCGAAATGAGCCGGTTGTCCTTCGATAAGGTCTCCTGGCGATGTGATCGGCTTGATGAATTTCGGTGCTGGTTTCGGTGCTGGTTCAACTTCTTCCATCTGAATTTACTGTCATAAATATACGAAACTTGCGGCAGCTACGGTAGGCTAAGGCGCGACGGGGGATTACTCGAAAGGCAAAAATGTTTTTGCAAAAAATGAAATGAAATGTGTGTTAAATTATCGTAAGGCAAAGCCCTTTATAAAAAATCTGCTTGACGCGGTTCACATTTCAGCCCAAATGCCCCTAATGGAACTGCGTTCAAAGTTATCCCCCTTCCTAGCCCAGATAGCCCAAACATACCTTTGGCTTGGGAGCTTCGATTTCTTGGATACGCGCCCAGGATTCGGCATGTTGTGTGTCACCGAGAATCGCGTCCTTGCCGTGACACTTCAGAGTGGCTGACGACACAGCTTCTCCAGTTGGACTCAAGACACGGACTTGGTAGACACCCTGAAATAGTCACTCTTAGCTCCGCCTCTAAACAGACGAGTTGCTGGCAAATCGGTCCATACCTGGTCTTCAGGGAAGGCGTAAGCAATATCGAGTGTGCTGATACCGAAGTCCTTGCTGATCGCGTACTTGGAACCGTGTGCGAGTGGCTGGCCGTTTCGTACCCACTGTACTTGTAGGTTTGGATCATCGACTGGGCCGTAGACGGCTTCGAAGTGGACACGATCGCCTTCGTTGCATTCCTGAATACATTCGATGATTAGAGGCTTCGAACATAAAGTCACAGTCCGCGACGCCCAGATGGGCGGAGACAGGCAGCCTGCTTTTGATGCGCCTTCCTTCCAAAAAAGAGGGCGCACCAATAAGGTAGTTCTCTGCCTGCACGATCCAGCTCATCTTCCTCAACCGACTGAGTCTAATTCACCCTGAAGAAAGAGTAAAAAAAGAACCTTGTCCTCGAGTTGAGTGGTAATGAATGGAGGGTCGTATACGCGAGCTGGAGCTTCAGGCTCGGGTTCTCGTGGCGCTTCGAGGATCTGGATACGTCGCCACGATTCCTCATGTCTGGTATCGCCAAGTACTGGAGCCAAGTTGGTGACCTTCACTGGTGCTGTCGATACTGCCTCTCCTTCGCTGTTGGTAATTGTTACAGTGTAAATGCCTGGAAAAGCTCAATTATTCCCTATTTTTCAATTTCATGTGCTCTTGGCAAACTCACCGTTATGATCTTCGTTAGCCATTGGGATATCGAGCGTAGCCCAGCCGAGTTCGTGATGAGTTTGGACGAGTTGTGAGGCAATGATTGGTTGACCGTTCTTCCTCCATACCACTTTCATGTCGGGATCTCTTGTTGGTTCGAAAGTGGCCTCGAGATGGATCGGCTGGCCTTCTTGGATGCCTTCTACGGGTTGGCAGTTGGGTGATGAAATGAGGTTTCTCGCGTTGGATCACTTCCTCGACCTCTTCGACAATCTAAACGACCGGAGGTAATTTTGGTAATCTGACGAGGCCTCGACGCAACAGGGTCAACTTACCTTTGGCGCCTCGAGTTCCTGAATTCTCTGCCAGGACACAGGATGCTGGGAGTCGAGCATAAGGCGCTCATATCCTGTAAGCAAGGCGATTAAATGATACCTAGAAATGTTCATTCCACGCTGGTCACATGGGCGGAGTAGTGCACACGACTGCGCTTCTCTCATTGGATATGCCCTCTCCTCTAATAATGGAGAGTGCACGAATGGGCCAATGAGGAAGGCTATGGTAGGCCCGACTCCGCCCACACGTTCGCTGCAAAATGTGCCTTGGCATCTAGTAAGGACCGCTGTGAAAGAAAAAGCATCGATATAAAAGTCAGTCTACCCTACCTGGTACTTTGAGAGTGGTGCTGGTGGTAGCCTCTCCTTGTGGACTGTAGGCACGGCAGGTGAAAACTCCAGAATCGTGTGGTAGAACGTGAACGATGGTGAGCAGTACGCTGCCGAATTCGAATTCTTGACGGAAACGGTTGGCTGAAATCAGACTTCGAGTGTGTTTCTTTGCGCGGGTTTAGAAATTGGTCAGAAATATGCTTATAAGCGCGTTTTGCTTGGAGGGGCATTTTGCAATCTCGCCAGTCCTTTTACTAGTGCTCTGACCTGTGCACGCCTGTGAAGCCAATATTGTTCGAGCGAGCCATTTTGGTTGCAGTAACTTACAAGTCCTCACAAGGTTGTTACAAGCTTGATTGGATACTACTGGGTGCCCTCACCAAGCCGAATTGCGCCATGCCAATGAAGGTGGAAAAACGAGTGGAGGGTTGAGTTCCACGAAATCGGGGATTATATCCCCAATTTCTGTACGCAAATAAAGGCGATCCTCGAAAAACGTTATCGCAGATGTGATTACCGAGAAAATTCGCAGGTTGCTCTTGGGGAGTGTAAGTTGGCGCAGTTCTTACTGGGTCCGTACATAATTTCGGTTGTAAAATTTCGCAAAACAGCAGGAACCTACCATTGAGCAGTGGTTTGCCGTTGTGGAACCATTCAACGCGGAGGTTTGGATCATCGGATGGTCCGACCACACCATATAGATTGACAGTGTCTCCAACGTTGACTTCACCAGCGTCCTGAAAAATATTGGCAACTAGAATTCCAAACAGGCTTTGAAAAATCCCAAAAGTAACCCCAATGCCAGAAGTTGGATATGAACCGTTTCGGGTTCAGAGGTGGCTTATGGCTAGAGATCCCACCGAATGCTGTCTCAAGGGTTCGCATCAGCACCCATATAGGCGATGTCGTCGCAATCAGTCGGGGCGGTGTCAGGAATAGGTCCGCCTCCGGCTGCCACTTGACCCATGGTGGTTGATTAGTGATGGTTTAGGAAGAGAACAAACAGTGGGTGAAAGCCTGGAGGGTAAGCTCCTTCTAGCCCTCCTGACACAGCCCCGACTGACTGCGACAATACCAACTGCCCTGGCGGAGTTGAACTACCACTGAGTTATCCCTACTGGTACTCGCCTATTTTCCAAAACGATAATAAAGAGGTGGTAGCCAATGAGAAAGAGCAATGGTACACTGCGCTTCATCCACGTCTGGAGGACAGCGCTCTGAGGAAACCCAGTGAGGACTCCGATAATTGATTGAGAGGTCCTGCTGTGTTCTTCCAAACTGCTGTTAATCCCGAACAGCTCAAAACTAGAGCGTTCTCACCTCGAATGGTTTAATCCACTGTGGCTTGCCATAGTCCTTCTCAGGTGCCTCGATACGACCGTACTTATCCATAGCTTCAAGGTCTCTGATCTTCTGGAGAGAAGCTGGATGGGCCGTATCCAGAAGAAGTACATCTGATCCTACAAACTTCGGATATTAATTTGGCCCTCTCAACTCGACCTGACATTTCTTCCAGTCTCGTACCTTGTACACCAATGGAGGCACTTGTTGTGGCAGCTCCATGTTCGTTGGTGGCCTTGCAGGAATAAACTCCAGAATGACGAGCATGAACTGGAGCGATACGTAGTGAGACATTTCCGAAATCGTTGTTGGTCGCGATCCAGTTGGAATCCTTCAAAGCACCGCAATCAATAGCTGGAAAGAAAATCCTTCAGAAAAAAATGTA